CTCCGGCACACAACTCATATATTATTAAATTACCGCAACTCATAAGTACTGCAGCCGGATATTATCAACACGTGGCTCTCATTAATATCGAGGTGAATATTACAAACAAATTATACTTTAATTACAATTTATAATTAATTGTTAATATTGTTTGCAGAATCAAGCGGTTAAATATTTGACTAAAGGTATGTTTGATATCATAGAAATCGTGGCATTCAATCCACAAGAAGACATTGTGTAAGTTTTTCTATTCAATATTTTTGTTGTTTCTCTTAATTAGTGTTTTGCTATTATTAACAAAACAATTGTTTTTAAAAATAACAGTTACTTTTTGTCGACATTACCCGAAAAGCCAGAGTTTCGTCACTTAATGAGCGTTTCAGTGAACGAGGAGTCAGTTTTGGACCCAATTTGTTGGACCTGTTATTTGGGCCAAAGTTGTCTTTATAACAATGTATTCTTTAATACCAAACGAGACTATTATGTACTGCAATGCGAGGGACCGGACACTCCCAAAGTGGAGATCAGGCGCACGAAAAACAATTCATTAGTGACTGAATNCCCAAAGTGGAGATCAGGCGCACGAAAAACAATTCATTAGTGACTGAATTGGAAAACAATAGTAATCTGGAAGCGAAACTCAGAGAAAAATCCGTTCCCATCACTAGAAAATTAAGAGTCAAAACCAGCGCTACTTTTCGTATGATTTTTATTGATATCTTTTTATTTAAAAAACTTTAATGAATTTTAAAATTATTTTAAAGTTTCAATTTTAATTAATATATTTCGTGTCTACTCTTATGTCACAAACTATTGGCACAAATGATTTTGAATTTTGTATTTATTAGATATTTATCAGAATTAACACAAATAGGAAAATGATTATAGGAAATATATTTTTTCAAATTGATATTTAGATTCAAACGTTGAACTCGTTTTGCCGCACAATTTTGATGAGAAAAATAAGTACCCGTTAATGGTTGAGGTGTATGGGGGGCCGGGAAGTCAATTAGTTATCGACAAATATCGTGTCAATCATTGGGGAACGCATTTGGCCTCAAACTTAAGCATTATTTACGCCAGGATTGACGGCCGCGGCTCCGATAACAGGGGCTCTAAATACTTGCACGAAATCTATAAAAATATGGGTAACGTTGAAGTGATGGATGTTATCATTACCGCGAGGTTTGTCTTATTATTATTTTGTAAAGTTATTGAGTGGTTGACTGATATTGAGCTTTGAATGTCAGATACCTTCGGGACAATTTGGATTTCATCGATAAACGCAATATCGGGATCTGGGGCTGGAGTTATGGCGGATATGTGACCCTCATGTCTCTGGCACTCGACCACACGGACCCTGTATTCCAGTGC